AGGAGAGGAGAGGAGAGGAGAGGAGAGGAGAGGAGAGGAGAGGAGAGGAGAGGAGAGGAGAGGAGAAGAGCGGAAACGAAGGCAAGGCAAAGGCATCTGGCTTGTTTAGCTACTATAAGGATGATGATACTGTTCTTACTAAGCAAGACCTCAATGCCTTGAGTGACATGGAAGATTTAAAACTGAGAATCTGGACCCAGAAGCATATTATGACTCCATTTATACAAAATACCCAGAATGGGAAGTCACAGCAAGAGAAAGGTTAGTGTCAGCAAAGACCAGGAAGGGTCTGAGGCTGAAAAGTGAACTGCTACTAGGCACAGTGCTGTTCTACGTGAGGAGAATGATCAGACGACACATGGTGGCAGCCATGCAGCTCTATGCCACACCGATCAGCATGGATTGCATAAAAGGGGCAAAGTCATGGCATGAGAATTTCATCTGAGCAAAGCTGTGATAGGTCAGACATGTTTATCAGCCCGCCTGGCACGACTTGTCCACTTATGCTCCACAAACACTCCAGTGTGCAGGCACTGAACTGCAAGCCAACGCATGGAAGAACTCACATGTGTTTGCTCAATAGCAGGTGCTGAATACCTAACTGCCCAAGGACAGCAGAAGTGCCGTAAGCACACAGAACACACACACACTGTTGACCAGGGTCCACCATACGGCAGATCCTCAGCAGATGTTTATGGACTTCAGGAATGGGTGAGTGCAGATGAAAAGACTAGGACTCAGAAGCACACATCACATCAAAGAGGCAAAGACTTACAAATATGCTGTTTATAAACTTTTTATTTAAAAAATAAAATTATAAACATAATACAGAAAAATATTGACACCTGTGTAACAATAAGATGACTTTTCATCTTTAGGGTAATTTGTTGTTTTGAGAGAATAAAATCCTAAGTTTTATAAGGACATTTTATTGGGCAAAGGAGGAATTTGATATCATTGGTAGTGGGTACTTGGCATAGGTAAGACTTAATACATACATTCAACACTTCACAGCATATTCAAGTCTCCTTTCCATGTTCTATACCAACAGTGTACCTCACCAATCCCTAAGATTATTAAGAGTGCAATATAATATCATTAGAAAATAATCCTGTTCTTCCTAGGTCAACTGTATTTTCACTACTTAAAATACATTCTACAACAGCCTCTGCCCAGTTGAAATGGAGCCTCTTCTAGACAATTAAATCTGAAGCAACAGCCAGTCATGAGGCGGTCCCTCCCTCCTTCACGTGGACAGCCAGTCTTTTATGTGAGGCCTTCCCACGCTCCTGGATGTGGACAGCTCCCATGGAAGCTCCTTAGAGCAGTTCTGCAGACACACACTATAGAATCTTCCTTTAAAAAGGTAGCTGAAACCATTACCCGTCCACCTAACAAATTAGTCATTTCAAGCAAAAGATTCTGAGAAATCTGCACAGTAATTATCTGAAAATACACAGCTTCCTCCATTTCCAAATCAACTCTGGACTCATCAGCAATTTGGATTCCTGCTTAGTTTTCGAAGTCATGGAAGCTACCTATCCTAGACTCTTGATAACCTTTCCATTTCACTTTTAATTATAATTTTATAAAATCAACATAAATCACAAATAACTCCCATAACTGAAGGTACTAGAATCCACAGGGCTGGTCTGTGTAGACTGGACAAACAAAATGTCAAGATCAGAAAGTCTCAAAGTCTCCAAGATGTGCAGGCAAACCACCCAGACGCACCTGCCTCCTCAGCCCTCTGCCCCACGCTGGGCCTTCTGGTCTGAGAAGACGACAAACAATGGAGACACATGAATTTCACTCAGTTGAGCCGCTGTCTTCAGGTTGTAACTTCTCCAGTACATGATGGTTGGCAGTTGGCAGCAGGCTGCTGAGATGATATGACCTCTAAGTCAGAGTCACGAACAAAAACCACCGCGTCCCCACTGACATTTATGAGACACTGTGCCTGTGGAAACAGCAGACAGAAGCTCAGATGCACACAGCCAAGGTGATGTGAGCCTGCTGTGAAGGCTTCGGGTAGAAAAACAAATCCGGCACAGCCAGCCGACCCTAGGGTAAAAACAACCTAGCAGAAGATAAGAAAAGAAATCCAGAAAGCCCAGAAATCCATAACTGATAATTGGGAGATGGTGAAAACTGGGTATTCTAAGGCAGCAAAACCCATGTCTGGAGAAGAACGAGCTATCAGTGTCCGCAGAGCAGGGTATGCCCTCCGCAATCATCAGAAAGTCTGTACTTCCCTAGAGAAAAATCTTGGACAGGACTTTTTACTACACAGTGTTTATAAAAGGAAAACACTAAAAATAATATAATATAAATACCATCTAGAAGAAAGGGAAAATATAGACTATATATGTCTGAAATACTAAACAAGTGAAAATTATATAAAATCCTGCCAATATAGCTCTGCCAGGCAGGCTCCATGCTGGAGAAGGCCGTGTGGTGTGGAGGAAGCAAGAGCACGAGAGCTTCCCTGACACAAAGCAAAGTAGAGCTGAGTCATCTTAGGAAACACGCACTTTCCACAACATAAGGCACTGAGACAGGACAACAACAGAGGACAGGGCCTCCAGCTTCCACAGCGTCAGAGTTGCCCTCTTCGTCACACTAATGTGTTCAGTAGACCGACTCACAAGATACAATACTTCGAGATACCTTGCTACTTATATAACTATTTAATTTTAGAAGAAATCTTTAAGGTTTTTTTGAGCTATTTAGTTAAAATTAATAAAAGGATGTTATTCTAAGGTGTAGTCTAACAAGACCTCTGCTATCCCCTATTTAGAGAGTAGTAATTTGGTAGAAAGAAATAAGCAGACTGTCCCATGTTATGTTCTAGACTCGTAGGTAGAACTAGACAGCTCAGCAAACAGAGTAAGGAGTACCTCAGAGAGGAGACACAGTTGTATCCATATTTCAAAAGCTCACCAAGAAAGGAGCTCAGGGCAGAAACTCTAGAAATGCCCAATTAGGGTGACAACAGGTCATGTGGGTGTGTAACAGCACCTGAGCGGTGACAACCACATGGTTAATACAAAGTCAGCAAAGCATGTTGGAAGCATCTCCACTCAAAGTTCTAACGAGCCATTTCTGTGGAAAGGAAGGGATGGCCCGAGGGGCATTCTCAGACTTCCTCACAGTAGTGGGGCCGACTGGGCGTCTCACCTGGTTCTTACTGGGATTCTCCATGAAGACACACTGCTTCATAATGTAGGAGACAACAGCATTCCCTCCCAGCGCGGCGACATGAGCTCGGACCATGGCAAATACTTCAGCAATGAAAGCGTGGAGAAAACCACTGACTCCGCCCTCCTGCAAACAATATCCACAACCATCATGTCACACACAGGTTAGGACACACACAAATGTCAAAGGACACAGTACACATTCCAAGTTGCCTTAATGTGAAGATGACCATTTACATTTTCCTCAGAGTGAGGGTTTGCTTTCCATCAACAAACAGACTTTTAATAAACACATCTGAGTAAGAATTTTCAAGGACTTTCATTAAAGCTCAGATGATTGTAGCTTGCCTGTATCACACACATTGTATGTTTTATGAACACGTGGTGCTGGGGAACAATCCCATTAAAGCTCAGATAACTGTAGCTTGGCTGTATCACACACATTGTATGTTTTATGAGCACGTGGCACTGGGGAACAATCCCAGGGCCAGACTCATGAACTTCAGGCCTCGGCTGAGCAAGGCCCACACGTGTGTTCTACCATCCCTGCTGCACCCGTCTTCCACATTATATGCTAATAACAATCCAGCGCTGCAGAAAGAAGCCTTGCACACATTGCTAAGGAAGGAATAATGTGGGGAACTACTTGTATTCAAAAACAAACAAAACAGAAATGAAAAGCCAGTCAATAGCTTAAATGTTTTCAATTTAACTTTCCTATCAACTCTACTAGAGGTTAAGGATGATCAAAATGGAAATTTCTGAATTAAATTGAAGTTAAGAGAACTTGAAGTCTACTGTTAGGAGCAAACTTATTTTCTTAAGTACATCTTTATAAATTTATGTGCATGGGTGTCCTGTCTGTATTTATGTCTGCACGGGCACCACATACATGTCTGGTGCCCAGAGGACAGCAGAAAGCACTGGATCCCCAGGAACTGGAGTTCCAGATGGTAGTGAGTCACCATGTAGGTACTAGAAACTGAGCCTGGGTCCCCTGGAAGAGCAGCCAGTGCTCTAACTGCTGAGCCACCTCTCCAGCTCCAGCACAACTTTCTAAATCTAAGCAGCCCACCCAGATGGTGATCTTGTGAACTAGCTCTGATGAGACTCTGGAATTAGATCCCCCATCTCAGCCTCCACGCCACAGAGCAGCTCTGCACATGCTACAGTGGCCTTCTGCTTATCTGTGCTACAGTGGCCTTCTGCTTATCAAGTTGGAGACTGGAGCACAGTCTATGCAGAGGGGGTTCTAGGAGGCATAACTGATTGACTGTAAGAAAGATCTTCCAGGCAATAACACACATGGATACTGCGCCTTAAGTTAATAGTGCAGGTCTCTGCTGCAGTGTGATCAACCAGAGAGCAACAGGACAACAGTGAACACTTCAACAGCAGTGAAAAGTAAGGAAAAGAAATGGCGGACGCAGTGTGGCCGACAGCTTATGCACCGACCCCACTGTTAAAGAGGCTGAGAAGATAGGATCAGGTGTAGGAGAACAGGCTGAGCAACACAGCACCCCATCTCACAATACAAAAACCACTATTCAAGCATATCTCCGAAAAGCCCAAACCTGCCTCCTTAGAGAACTCAGTGTGTCCTGGCAGTGCAGTTTGAAATCCTGAATCAAACACAGGGGAAGGTTATTTGTTTTACAATAAGGATCTACAATTCTACAAACAAAAGGGCTTAAATCAGAGACAACTCTTGTAAATGGGTTACTGTATCAAATTTGGAAGTATACAAAACTCTATCCAGATAGGTTACAAATAGGAAAGTAAAATATGAGTGTCTGTGGCTATTTAGAGGATCATCGAACTTAAAACTTGGTTCTAGTACTAATCTCCCCTCCCCCCGCCCCAAGAAAAACCTTAAGGAAGTTTTGTGAAGTTACCTCACGGAGAGAAGTAGTTTCTCTAATAAAAAACATGTTAATGATGCCAAGGTACTTTGTTATCTTTGCTCCAGGGATGAAAGAGAGAGGCGTCATCTTAACAACCCCAACTGTGGGACTTGCACAAGGTGGTGCAGAACGACTCCGGAAATTTCCATCACCCATGGGACTTGCTTTTTCAACAGTCACAGCTAAAATTGGAGAAAGATGAGGACACATTAAGCACAGACACTGGAAACTGGATAATCCCCTAAGGCTTCCAAACAGAGGTGATAACATTCAGCTGTCTGTGAGACTAAGCCATGTCATGAAAGAAAAGAAATTATCATGCATCACATGCAATTCAGAGAGAGAGAGAAACATGAGGAGGTGCTGGAATGGAATTCTTTGGGAAGGAAAATGGCATTCCTGCAAAGGAAAATGTTGATGCAGTGCAGATAGACACACAATGATCGGTTACAGAGTGGACAGGAAAGCGCCAGAGCAGTAAGGAGCTGCTGTGGAAACAAATTATTGAAGAAGAGTGTGGAAGCAGTGACATTCCAGTACAGTTCCACCTTTGTTGGAATACTCCATCACTGTAGGCTTGGAGGCAGCCTGGGCAACATTAGGTGTAATACATTCCTCTATTTGTTTCCCAAAGTTTTTGATTAAACAGCCATGGAACTTAACCCTTAACAATCGACCTTGGCTGTCTAAAAGGTTTGGGGAAGTTAATAGTAAACAGCTCCCAGCAGTTATTAAGTAACTGCAGTCAGCCATAAACACACCCCTGTGTTTCTAACCTGACAACCAGTCACATGGTCACACCATCCCTGTCACCTCAGGGGGAAACCAAGGTCATTTACTTATTAATTTAGCACCTCTAGGACTAAAAAAAATGATTCTGATGTATTTCCTGCATTTTTTCTTTAAATTGTAGTTTTTTTCCTTTTTAATATGAACTCACTCAAATATAGTTTCCTCAAAATCTGCCATAACACAGGTTATAAAACATTTCTCTCTGGTTTAGTGGTAAGATACAGTCTACTTTCTCTGTACACACTTGATCCCTGATCCTTAGAATTAGGAAGCCGACAGCCTTGCCGTCAGCAGTTCACTGGGTCCTGGAAGAGTGTCTCTTTAACAAAGACATTGATTGAGTTCTCCTAGACTGGGATGTACTATGTGTCTGTGTACTTCCATAAAAAGGAAAACTGAAAAGACAATCTGCAGCTAACAGGAAGCACCAAAGGCTCTGCAAAACTCCTCACACATGACCAAGCACCTGCAGCTCTCACACTCGAACACAGGACTGACTGGCAATGCTGTTACTAGGCAGTAAGGTCTAGCCTTCACCACTGCGAAATCAGGGATATGCTTCTCAGGTCATCAGAACGTGGTAGAAACATCCGCCTACTTGTCTTAATTGATCCGCGCCTTATGGTCTGAGCTTTCAGTTTAATGAGCTCTATCCAGCTGCTGCATCTGTCTGCAAAGGAACTGTAATCAACTGACGTTGCTGGAAACACAGACAGAAAACAAAAGAAAACACAAAGAAAAATATGGATGACGTGTCGTACTCGCCACAATGCTCCTCTGATGATGTAACTTAACTTCACTGTAGCTCACAGAAAGAGTGACCCTTTAGATCAGACAGGAGGTGGTGCACAGTCGAGCTTTAGACATCCAAGTGTTCAAACCCAGTAATGGTTGGCAGAGCGCTGGGCACATGACTGCACGGTGTCAGGGACAAGTACAGTCCAGCTGATACAGGAGCAGAGGACTCAGTCTGCTTAGTTCTTCCCACTCTCCTCATTGTAAGAATTTAGTTGCTTCTATTAAGTTTTAATTTATGATTCAATTCATAACCAACCCATTATGAGCAACTCCACTCCCTACTTTTAGCTGAAAGTCAAAATTAAAAAATAATAAAGTGTTGAAAAAGGCTTGAAGGGAAAAACCAAAAACAACCAAGAAACCAAGAAACCAAGGCCCACCACCCACTCACTAATGACCTGTCTCTTGCTAAAGTAGTCATCAATAACCCGACTTTGAAAACAGCAGGAAATCCAAAGGGGCCTGCCATCCACATTCCGCTCCAGGTCTGATTTCTGGCAGCAAGGCCTCTGACAAGAAGGAAGGGGGGCAGCTAGCACCCCTCTGCCAACAGTAACTGTTACATTGCTACTGTTTGTAAAAGGCTAAAGAACGAAAACTTTAGAAACTTGAAAAATGTTTACACAGTAAAAAGTACAATAACAAAGTAAATACTTTTGAATTTGTCAAACATTCTAAATACAAGAAAGCCTTTTCTGGGGTCTATTCCACTGTCCAGTGCATTCCTATGCTGTAACTACGGAGCTGTAGCTTCACACCTACAGTGGCTGAGTGCTTAGGTAGACAAACTCACCTCTCTGTGCAGCTGGTATACCTGAGTTAGAGTTCGCACTCTCCAGGTGTTCTAATAAGACAATACAGACAACATTAGCTCGGATGCGAGGACAAGCCAGCACCACTTCTCTGCTGCTTGTTAGTATCTTCCGTAAACCAGAAGAACAGAGCAAGTCAATCTTTACGGCTTCATTATAAAAGCAAACCAAGCACAAGCATTAGGATTTAAAATGGCAGTTCCTTTATATGAAAACTAGCCCCATTAATAGATACTGTGTCAAGATGATCTCTTCTTACAACACAAAGTGCGTTTCTGGAGAAACTACAAACAGTAGCATGCTAGTAGAACCATGGCATGAGGTAAGATGACAGGGTCAGTGTGCTGGGGAGGGCTGGGAGGGGGAAGTGGGGAGGAGTGGGAACTTGTACTGTGAACCATCACACACAGGGAAATCAGGCACACACATCACCACTGCCTAGCTGCTGCCCTCCTCGCCTCCAACCTCTCCATCTGACTTTATCAACAACCCTCTAGTAGTAGCTAGCCTTTGTGAAACTAAGTGATTGACAGATCTCCAGAGAGATGGCTAGGAATCCCAAACAGAATCACACCCTTCCCAGCAGCGTAGGGAGTAGCACCTAGGCAGAGGTTCTCCTGGTGTCTTAGGTATTTGTTGTGTCCATGTAAGTTATTGTGAAAAGGTAAGAGTACTACTAAAGTCGATCTACTTTTGCTGTTCATGCTCTCTCTGTACTAGAATATTTGTATTTTTGTGTCAAGGAATTATAAAACTGAAAAAAAAATAGCTCATTAGAAACACAGAATTATTTGGGGTGTCCAACTTTTTTAAAGTATCAATTAAGTAAGTACATTGTCCATCTCTAATGTATTGGTCTTTTGGTAATATTTTCAACTTCATTACTCAAACTATGACTTGTATAGACCATTCTCCTAAGTGGGATTGGCCTCACATCTGGTAGCTAACATGGAGAACATGCAGTAGCTGCAGTCCCCTGGATGTGGAGGTGATTATTAAGTGCAGGCCGCAGGATGACTGGGAAGGTACCACGTTACAAACATGTCCAGATATGACCATCAAGTCTACAGACAACATATCTAACTGGGTACAGTCTTCCCGATTCAGCAGACTGCGGGATTTAGCAAGTCCAGAAGAAGATGGGAATACAGGAAGAAGCCAGAACACTCCTGACATATATTCAGAAGCTTAAGGTCTCTAGAGACTGCACAGGACAGGAATGGCTTGACACATACATGAAGAACAACCAGCCTACTCCAGGCTTAGAGGTTCCGGGTACTGTAGAGTCACTGCTGAGGAGGGCAGACTCCACGAATACTCATTACTGAGAGAATACTTGAGCTGGGTGTCATGACAAACACCTACCAACTTCAGAACATACAGACAGTTCAAGGCTGTCTTAGAGAACCAAGAGTTAGGGTATGGTAGCTTCATGGTAGACTGCCTGCCTAGCATGCACAGGCTCAAAGACCTGATCTCCACAAACAGGAAAAAAAAGAGAGAATGTATAATTCGGATTAGATATCTTGTGAACTTCCTCCCCCCAGGATCAAGAAGGAATAACTCAAATAATTTTAAAAACCACTAAAAAGAAATTCTCTTCTGTAACTCAGTACTGCTGTATCTGATTTAATGGCAACTGTACCATTACATCCTAAACTGTGCCAAATGGAAAAGACACGATACAAAGCAATATAAAAATGCTTGTGTTTGTAAAGGAGACAATGACGAGCCAAGCACTGAGGTGTGCACTTCTAAACCCAGCGTCTGGAAAGAGGCAAGAGGAGGATCAGGAATTCAAAGTCATCCTCAGCTATGTGGTGAGTCTGCTCAGTCTGGGCTACATAAGATTCGGTCTCAAAAAAACAAAAACAAACAAATAAATACAAATTAATAAATATTCCATTTTCTGCATAGCTAGTAAAAGTGTGTGCTCTTGAGAAGGGAAATGAAGGAAGGAGGAGACTTTATTTTGGACTACTTGATTTTTATATTGTGTGAATTTCTCCCTGAATTACTACTTTTCCCCTATTTTTTATAAAGGGAGAGGAGTTCTTTGTTCCCTGGCTTCAATAATTTTGAATCGCAGACATTCTTCAGTGTTCTCGGAGCCTTTTGAATGCACTTGTGATCACTCACACTTGCTCTGATCTTAACTCTTCTCTTATAGAAATGCTCAAGGCCAGCTGGTATGGAACAAGTGAACCCTGGCGCTTCAGTCCAATTTGTATACCGTAGACACAAAAGTCCTCAGACTCCTGGCTCCTTCTCAACATAGTCTGGCTTCCCAGGTAAGAGACTCTCAAACAAGAAAGCACTACGACAGTATGCAGTCTGGCTTGTTGATATACTGGTAATTTTAACAATAAAGCAATAAGTAATCTCCAGGTCAATAGTAATCAAAGACAACCACTTTCATTACTTCTTATAAGCACCATTCAAGGTCTGCTGGGGAGCTAGTGATCAATTCTACAGCATGTGCATGTCTATGCGGAAGAGTGAGACAAACACTTCCATGCAGATGACAGCCCCACTCTATCTGCAAAGAGCTGTTATCAAGACACACAGTAGTGCACGCCTTTACAATTTCTGTGTCTGTGTGCACTTGTGTGTGTATGTGTGCATATGCTCACATGAACGTAAGGGACAGCCTGCACAAGGCAAGCTTCCTTCTTCCATCCTATGAGACTATAAATCTAACTAGGCAAAGCAAGGAAGGTTACGAATTATTACTCTCTTAGCTCACTCTAGCAACGCTTAGCAAGCCGCACGTCCACAAGTATGGAGAATAAAACAAACACCAGTTAAGAACAGGCTAGTAGAACTGAGTCCGTTAGTGACCAACATGGTAGCAGCACAGAGGCAACAAGTCTCCCCCTCCTTTCATATGCTTCTAAAGTTCTTCTCAGGAGTCTGTGACAGCCAATGAGATATACCTGTCGGCTGTAGCTATAGCCTGTATGCTTAGCTCCTCTGAGGTACACACTAACATCCTCCAGCGAAATTGGCACCACTGTAAAGGGTCGGTTTGGTCTCTCCCACAGTACAATCCAATAAGGAGGCCTTTCCAGGTTGACAGAACTTCAGTGTAGGCCTGCCTTCCCAGCCTCCAGAACTCTGTGGCAGTCAATTTCTATTCTCTCCAGAGCACCATTTTCTAGCAAGTGTCATACAGTGGACAAAGGCTGCTGTAACACAGATTACCAACTCCTGTGATTTTTCACTTCTACCAGAATTTAGCAATCATCTTTGCTCTAAATATTTTAAAGTGAATATATTTTTAAAGTTACTGTCTTAAAAAATTCCTACAAATAACAATCTTTTGTAGAATAAAAGGTATGTAGTCCAGAGTCTTTAATTTTTATTATTTTCCCATTTAAGTTTTAAGTTACTATTATCACAACTGGGTTTCACATTCTTTCAGGCATTTGTATCAACATAATGAATGATTGGACTATGTATAAAAAGTGGCTTAATGACTAAGTTAATGATGAAGCTAAAGATTGCTTGAAACCTACTTAGATGTGGATGAACTCATTAAAAAAAATTGCCATAGGAGCTGTAAATTATTACGGTATAAAGATAGAAATAGCAGCTTCAATGTGAATACTTTTTTATAATGGAAAATCAAAAGTAAGGCATCAGTAATGTATAGATTTGATATACTTCTCTCCAGAGCCTGTTCCAGTCTAGATCTTTGTCCTTGCTTTGCATTCTGCCTCTTTGGCATCTCACTGACCTTAAGCCGCCCTGAAGACGGAGGGAAGAAAAGGCTCCCTTCCTCTGCTCTCCACTGAATACACCCCTCCCTTCCAGCCCACCTCTTGGATGGGCTGCAGACACTTTGAGCTATCTATACATTTGTTTCCCTCCTTCATCCGTTTGTTGGTTCTGGAGAGAGTGTCTCACACTAACAAGTTCTGGGGCTGCACCTTGTGTGTCTCTTTAGTTCCTCAATCTCCTCCTTCTCTACCCAACAGCACCCTTCCCTGCCAGCACTGTGGCCATCCAACTACACACAGACTGCTCTCAAATTCTCTTTATTGCTGTTACCTTGACCATAATATCAAAATATATAGTTTGTAAAGAGCAGACATCTCAGGGACTGTTAGTATATAAAGGCATTTGTAGTAGTATAAAGAGCTACTACATATAGTTAGGAATTCAGAAACATTCTTTGTTTGTTGGAAAAATAAAAGCTAGTGCTTACAAGTTTCCATGCTGACTCCCATAGGCAGTGGCTGATTAATCGAGTCCCCCTGCCAGGCGACAGCATCTGGCACTGAGCAGGAAGGACTGAGCGAGCACCAAGAAGCATGACGGCAGGAACGGGAGGGAATGGAAAGGTCCTGGTCCATTCTTTTAACCAATAAAAACTATGTCATCCTATTAAACTTATTAAACAGTATTAAACAGTTAAGATCTAAATAGAACTACCAATCTATAACAGATTAGATTTATAACATATTTGAGATACATTTAAACTAGTATATGGTTTATAGTTGTTTAAGTCCATCAGTTCACCATAACCCTATCTGTATTTATATATATTATATGTATTATAATATTCAAGATTTATATCTTCAGATGTTAAAGCGATGTTAACCTTTTAGAAACATTGAAGCAGAAAATTATTGAACTTATCTGCATTCTATGAGAAAATTTTCATTTAAAATTTTTTACCTCGAATATCTTCACTTAGACTCTATATTTTTTTACTATATTTAATCTCTCCCTATTTTATATTCATCATATTAAAAAGTATATTTAAAACACAACAACTACAGGAAAAAGTGGTAAACATGGGTACTGATAAGGTTAAACCATTATGAAAGCACTGTAAAACTTGTGCTACCCAGGCCTTCTTACAGCACAGGCCAGGAAAAGCCTAGGAAACACATCCTGGTGATACCCCATCATGTATGTTCTTCGTAAGACTTGTCTGGAAATCCTGACAGCCTTTAAGAAATGACTGGAATCAACACCTTTTAATATTTCACAGCAAGTAAATCACAGTGTCACCTAGTATCTAAGTGACACTGAGTCAACCAGAAATCCAAAACAAACCAATAAACATGTTACCTTGAAAAAAAAAAACAAACAGTGCCCCACGAAAGGGAAAACTGAACATGGATGGATAATTCAGGCCCTGATTTACTCTATATGGTGAATTAAGATAGATGCATATAACAAAAGCAGTATATGACATTCACCCTTGTTGATAACAATAATCTATCAATCAATAACAACAAAAAGTTAATCTAAAAGCAAACCGCAGTTGTCAATAAACACATTATGCTTGGCTCTTCAAACTATTCTCCTTGTCAACATAAAGGGAAAGAACAACTAATCATCCCCCCCCCTTTTTTGAGAACATGACTGTTAATTAGAAATCAATGTTTACAGAATTTAAAAGAAATAATTCTGCCTGCTCAGCTAGCCACCTCAGCAAAGCCACACAGATAAGAGCCTCAGCAACCTCCCAACCCTCCTGCCTTCCTCTCTAGGATTCCTCTTCACTGCTAACTTTAGATTTTCACACACCTTTGATCTATTCAACAGTGTCAGCTACAGCACATCAACATTCCAGTCACGCTACAAGAGCACTGCTCTAGTCTTCAAACCTTTCACAACCCACCTCACCCGCAAACCTTCCAAATTGCCTTAAAATAACTTTAGAGAGAAATAAAGATAACATAAACACAAACCAGAACTTATACAACTACGTGTGAGAGGCACAGACACACTGTTCACTGCTGGTTTTCACATTCCAGGCAAGCACAGTTTCTGCCTGCATCACTGGGTGGCACATGTTTTAGTGTTCTATTTATTAGTAGACATGATGGTTCTGATTTTAGGAGGGCAGTGAAGGTGGTGTGGTGTCACTTTATGTTTCTCAGACTCTGGAAACCCTTTCTTAAATACGACATAGAAGCGACCGAGGCTGTAAACTCCAGAGTTAACCTCTCACTCCTCACCCTTTGTCAGCCCCGCCCACACTGAAGCTGCTCCGGAGGACTCTAGAACTGGAGAGAAATCTGGCTTGCTGCTTTCCCTCACGGGAGCTTCTTGGAAAAACTGGTAATTATGGAAGCTCTCTGAACCTGGACATGAATTCAGCCTTTCATTTACTTTTTAAATAACAGAAACATGTTAACAATCACAAAACATAGAAACCCAAAAAATGTTTAAAACTTATTTAAAGGCTAAGAGGAAGTGTAAAACTTCAGATTGTAGGCGTGTGAAGCCACGGCTGACAGAGGTCCATCATCAGCCACCTGGTGCACCTGCTCAGTAACAATGCCACCACCAGGCTTTCCCTCCACCTCAGGCCTCTGATGCTGCAACATCAGCAGCAAGCACTTCAGGCAGTACACACAGGCATTCAGCCAGATGATTCTCCCACTGTATCATTTCACAATACCGACCACAGAAGCAGTAGTTGTAACTACCGAGCACAGAAGCAGTAGTTGTAACTACCGAGCACAGAAGCAGTACTTGTAACTACCGAGCACAG